TTACAATATTCAAACACATTTTTTATGGTCAGAACAGTAACACAACTTGCAGTTCTGCAGAAAAATATACAAGTTCTTATACAGATGCTTGATAATTAAAAATTATTTGATTCAGTGGCCATATTATCCCTAGTTTTATGTAACTTTTTTATTAATAATAATGTCTGAACAAATTTCATGTAACTTGGAGGTTGGGGGCCTTAAGGGCCAGAGGGATTTGCGCCCACCAACATTTAAGGCCTCAATGTACAGAAAGTAATTTGATGAGTTCTAACTTTTCTCAATTTTGTACAGCATAGAAGAGCTTTAAAAAATCCACCGTGATGCTTCACAGTTTGTATGAATTTCAAGAATGGCCTTGTATCATGGCCCATTTTTAGTTAAATTTTCCATGGAAGTTACTTCCACTTGTCTATGGAGCTCTGTTGAAGTTCCCTTGAAAGTGTGTTCCATTGTCACTTAGGCCAGCAGACTGGGGTCCTTTAGGCATTTGTAGAATTCCATGTATATCAATGTTTCCCCCCCAACTGTTTTGAACATCCAGTATTTTCCCTTTTTCTCCATGTAGTGAATGGTTTGGCTACACTGGGAAAAGAATGTAATAACATTCTAGATTTCTTGTATCTTTTATTTGTGCGTGATTAAATATGTTTGTATTTTCGTTATTTTAATTGACAAGACTGTAATATGAATAGAAATGAAAGTTTATTAAAAACCCCATTTTTGCATCAGACAACTGAAGAAAAGTTAACATATGTTAGTGAAACATACAGTGTATTATCAAAATGCCTAAGATGAAATTGTAGTTGCATAAACAAAGAACTGTAAACAGTTGGCAATAATTTGACAGAAGAAAGAAATTTTTGTGCTGGTACTAAACAGACTAAACAGAAATGAAATTAAAAACAATTTTTGAATGTGAAATAAATATTTTTCACTACGATTATCAAAGAACTTACAAGAAACACGTGGGGAAAGTAAGTGTAAGTATAGGTGCTCCTTGTCATATGTAAGATTGAAAAATTCTAATGTGCTCAACTAATTTTGACTGATTTCAATTCACAGAGCTCACTTTACTCCTGATTCTTTGATTGGCAATTGAGAGAGGTGGGAAGAATGGGTGTAGATTATTGTGTGTGGATGGAGAAGGAATGCAAGGGAAGAAAAGGAAATTTGGCCTAGATATGCAACCACTTGTGTGCATCTACAACTGTCACTGTTTAAAGGCATGAGGAAACATTCAGTACAGTAATTCCTTATGTTCAACTTAAGGAATTTCATCCTCTGTGACTTGTCTTCTTCAGAATGCAACTCTTTCATGTACTGAAGAGCATCTGTAATAGAAAGAGTGCATTTTTGGCACTTATGCATTCCTGCTGGTGTCACTCTGTCTGTCCATCTGTATGCATCAATCCTGTGGGTGATAGAGGACATGGACGTACCTAGAGAGTCTCAATTCTTCCCCATCTCAAGGCAGGAACTAAATTTTACTAGAACAGACAAGATCTTCAACCAAGGCTACAGGTATGTGCAGTCCCTTTGCTTTAAATGTTCTTATCAACATAACATGAACTCTTTAAATACGAATACAAATTTTCCACTTTAACTGTTAAAGTATGGGTAATGGGGGGGGGGTAAATTTTATTTGGTTGCAGTCCCTCCTGTTCAGACAGTCATGAGCCACCACAGTTGGAAATGACAAAAATGTACTTGAAATACTAACACTGGAAGCAAGAAAAATACAGATTGCAGTCCTAGATTTTAACTCAAAGCACAAGGTTGGTTTTATTGTAAAAAAGACTAGCCATTCCTAGCAATAAAAAATAAAAAAGAAAACCAACAGATATCAAGCTTGAAACAAACAGACTAATAATTATTAACGTTATATAATGCGACGTGCTGCCTGAAAGCCAGACTATAAGACGTCCATCACTAGTCAACGGCTAACAATTCCTAGGCAGTGATGATTAGGAAATTGTTGCCCTTGAGATGAAAGTCTAACAGTGGGGTTTCCACCGTTACAAAAGAATTGTTTGAGGCAGACAAGTATTCCCACGGCAACAAGAGGCAGTTGCATAGCAGCAGGGGAAATTAACCCTTCAACAAGGTATTCCATATGCAGTCCAAGGGCAGGCTATAACAGTTCATATCTGGCTAGAGCAGAAGTTAGTTCATATCTGACGAGAGCTAAGGACAGTTGAGCTCCGAGCAGAAGACACTTCACTGAGATTAGTGGTGCAAGAGTGTTGTAACACTGAGAAGAAATGTCCAAAGATGTTATATGTGGAATACTTGTACTTGTGAGTGTAAAGAGTGAGTGTCTAATAAATGTTCGTTCAAATCCGAGACCCACGTAAATTTCCTTGTCGCACTGCCCAGGAAACACGCAACAATATATATCTTCTTACATGCAGCCCTGATTCACTCGCATAATTTAAGTTTGACTCTCAGATTTAAAAATCTGCATAGCACCATCTATCAATATACCACAATTTCATTAAGAGCAGACTGAAAACATTGCCAGGACTTCCTGCATGTATCTAGGTTGAAAGCCTTGTGTATGTGTGTAAGGGTGGGCCATAAAATCTGACCCTCGCACTACGAGTACAACCTTCAATGATCTATTGTGCTTAGGTTGAAAGCCTTAAAATGAAGCTGTTGGCAAATGAACACACTGTACACATGTCAACATACAGTAATGTTCCTATCTTAAAAATTTTGGACCACTTTCTATAATTCTGCAATGTTTAGCCATGTTATGTCTTACTGAAGACACCACTGACATTAGAACCATTTATCATATTTCTGTGACTTCTGTTGGAGAATATTCTTAACAATTGGGAGCTCAAGGACATGTCAAACAGTTTGGAACATGCAACTGAATTCTTTTTCTGCTAAAATTAATTTTACGAACAATTTGAAACTGGTTCCAACATGCTGAAAATATTAGAGCATAGAATATAATATTACATCTATGGCTAATTCCATATAATCTTGATAATGAAAGTGCTGTTATACTAATGAAAAAAACATATGTATGTGTCGAAGTGTCAAGACCTACTGCAGTCAAAGAATGTATGGGGAAGCAAACAATATCAATACTAGGACAACTTTTAAAATTTAAATTTTAAAACTTCAAGTTTGCACTTGCATAGTTTCAGAATAAAATAATTCCTTTAAATTTAAAGAAAATTTCACTGGCAATTACAAAATTGTTGAAGAGACAGAGAAGTTTACATTGGTGCCTGTGTTTACTTCTTATGAGATGGGCACATATACAGCAGTTAGATTTAACCACAATATTATGAATTATCTGCACTTCAGTTACAATTTTGCTCCATTAATGTGGCCATTTAAGCAACTGCATTTTAAAACAGATATTAAGAAAACAAATGTCTATTTCCATTAAGATTCATATCTTTTTCCCAATACTTTTTTGTCTAAATTTGTACACTGCATTTAAATTTAGGTCTGAGTATATGAAGTGCCTTTACACAGGGAAATATAACATGCTAGTACATACTAAATGTCTCCTTCAAATTACCACTTCTTTAATCATGAATGGAGATATCTCATTTGAACACATAACACTGATCTGACATGTTGGTACAAATCTGGCTATATACACCTCAAATTAGGAAATAAAACTGGACTGAAAATGCATTTTCCAACCAGAGTACTGTCAAAAACACAATAAATGCTCCATGAGATAAAACTTTTAAGATGTTTTCAATGCAATATTGGATATTATCAATGTCTCTCCATATTATGGATATGCTCATATGTTCTTGGACTGAAGAGAATGGGCGTGTAACATGTATTACATCTGTATAACTGCACTGACCCATTTACTGCATCAAGCATGTTACACACTGGCTTCAATTATGTCTGAAATACATGAATCATAAACATTTTTTCTGGTAGTGCCTATTTGATCAGTGGAAGGCATATTACTACTCTTGCCACCTGTTCACAAAGTAGATAAATTACTTTCAAGCCTTTCGAGAGATTAAGAGATCAGTAAGTAAAGGTATCCTTGTAACAGGCCATGGAGACTCATAGGGTTGTGAGATGTTGAGGTTCCCACATTTTCTAGACAATCGGCTCATATATTGTGACAAGGTTGTCAGCCCTATGAGCTGGCCACCCTTTACATCCAAGAATATTCCTGGTACTCATTTCTGTTAGAGGCTGAGTCAACCCCAGGGACATAGGCAGCTGGAAGGATGATGTCAACTTAAAAAATCCAATGAACTCATCAAGACCTGAACCCATGACCTTCCAGCTTGTAGCCTAGTGTCTCAGCCAATTATGTTACTGTGTGCACCCCAGAATAATTTTAAAAGAGAATACAGAGATCAGTATTCTCTTTTAAAATTATGTATATGCATTATTAGTAATAGGGTAATTACATCAGGCTTCTGAGAACCTCATAAATTTATATTGCTATTTTCTAGGTATAGCACTGTTATCAAAACAACAAAAATTACTGATGTATCGAAGAACTTTCTTTCTCCTTGTTTGATTCCCAAGGAAAGGGCATTACATTTCTCCAAACGACTGCAATTCGTTCATTTTGAAACAGTGAGATACCCAGACAACAGTAGAAAGAATATGATAATGTCATTTTGAGGCAATTATATGTAAAATACTGTGACTTCTGTGGTTTGTTACCAAATACTTCTGTTCTGTCAGATATGATAATTTAGATATAGAACTTTAGTTGGGCAATGGATAAATGCAGCACTCGGGGTTTGTACAGATACACAGAAAATCAGTAGCCATAGGATTAGGAAATAATACCACATTTCTGTAGTTAAAGGCAAAGTTATTCGTAATGTTTAACACTGGGTGTAGATTTTAAAACATAATGCTTAAAAATTCTGTGGAGCACAATTTGTAGTTTTTAACAATACTTCACTACCAGACACCACTGTATATTTGCAATTTGAACACTTTTCATAAAATATGTAACACAGTTGCAATAATAACAGAATAAATGCAATGACATCATAATTTATTATAGCATACAGAAATATTTAGTAGCTAACAAGCATAAATAACATTTATCAGTGGGCCATAATTGAAGAGAAAGGTCTCCTAATGGTATCTTTAAAATGAAACACGACTTTGACATACATAATAATATCAAACTTATCTTGTGTCTTTTTGAGATGGTCAAATGTAAAACACAAGTTTACATTTATATTTTGAAATTTTACCAATGTTATAATTTTGTCAGCATTCTATTCGTAAACTGTCATTACAGATTAACTTGTTCAATTGTGTTCAAGCCAAAATGATAAGAAACGGCATTAAAATATTTCTTCAAGGTCTCACTGCTGAAAAATATTTCTGTTTTCTGCCTGTGTCCAAGTGGATCTATGGAAGTTATAAGAATTTAATGCTTTCACAGACTGAACAGTATACAAATAATGTTCCTTTCATGTGCTGGCTCAAATTCCAGAGCTATCTTAACAATAAATAATGCAGAATACTTTCTTCTGTGGAGTGACACTATGTAGTATAGTAGAAGCTTACTAACGATTTGGAGTAATGTATTACTTCACCTTCTGGGTCAAAGAATAAGCCAAGAAAGCAACAAGCAGAGTACCCTGCTGATTGCTGGCTGCTTGGCTTTATTTTTTTACCCTAAAAATGGAGGCTGTGCTCAATACACTGGTAAATTTCTACCAGACTCTTATCGACATCATGTCCCTGAAGAAAGAAGAACTTCAAATCCAGCAAGAAATAACTTGTGTGTATGTGTGTGTGTGGAATCTGTGCTTCCAGTCCATCAGCAAAGGACTGGGAAGGAACAGACTCCCACACATTCAATCATTTACAACCCACACCTGAGTAACCTTTTCTATATAAATGAAAAGTATCCACATGCATAACCTCATGAAGGTGTAATAATTCTGTGGATTCAAAGGTCTCAAAAACAGACTGAGATGGGAAATCACTAAAACACCTCACTCGTCTTCTTGCAAAATATAAGTCACTCCTACAGTTCTTAAATTTCAGACGTGCATACCTTGGACAGAAATTCAGTTCTTTGCCTATTCTCTCAAACTTAAGTATAGTAACAATATCTAGGTAGGCTGGCTGGCTCCTTGGACTAGCTGCTAGAAACGAAACATAAAGTACACTAAATTTGATACTGTCAACATAGAGCAGAATGAAAGATGCATCTGCATGACTTCTACTTGGGAAAATAATACAATGAAATCAAATATTAGAGCAATAATAGTGTAATATTTTTCTATAAATTAACAACATTCTAGTGAACCAAAACTGGCTGTCACTGTCATTGGAAAGGGAATATATGCACTGAAGTCAATTTCTGTTTATATGAAAGACAAAGGAGAGAGTTTTGTTGGACTGTGACTAACAACATGCCCACTCCCCAGCTGAAGCTTTCATATAAAAACTTACTACAGCTGAATTTTAAATCCATACCTGAATTCCCATTAAAGGAAATGGGAATGCAGTATAATTTGCGAAATGTTACATAAGGCAACAGGTTTAATCATATTGAAAAAAAAATATCTGTTGGAAGACTTTATTTAAATTGTGCCACAAAAGAAGTTGCAAAAGTGTAAGTAATGTACTAAATATGCCTGTATACTATTTAAGACTTGATGAGGTTCATTTATTTTATGTAACAATTCAAAGAACAGATTTTGTGTAAATTGGTTCCTTTTCACAATTCCTTCTATATTAATATTCATAATTCATGTCTCTCTCTCTCTCTTCTGTGACATCAAAAGAGTAACAACTATAAATATTGATCTAATGTAAATTATTAAGTTCACTTCAGATGGTAACATATTTCTTGGCATCTATACCTAATAGGATGATAAAAAGTAAAGGTATGAATTCCATTGGCAGCAAACTGCCTGAAGCTCAAGAAACAAGTATCATTTGTCAGACACAAACACCACAGTGTAATGGGTAGTCTCCAGCTTTATAGCCAGAGAACCTTGGGTTCAAATTTTGGTCCACAGTCTATGTGAATGAGTTTCTTCATGGATTTCCTCAATTCCTCCAAGATGATGACGGGACAGTGTCTTAAAAAACAGGACATGAACACTTCTCAGTTCATAAGTAATAGCTACATTATTCAGTGTTTCATGAAACAGAGTTAGTAAACAATAAAGCCTTTAACATGGGTATACAAGTGAAATACAAGTTAAAGCTTCTAGAGGAGTCAATGGCAAATAGTGGGCGAAACAGCCAACAGTAAGACTACTGATGTTATGCCCATAATGAGTACAATGGCAAGAAAACTTCCTAATTATCATATTTCTGTGACAATTCTAACTGCTTTCACAGAGATCTGTTGATACTTATGTTTTCATATTTTGGATGCTGACTTCATGCTATGAGGCCCAATCTATTTTCGTTTTGGAGACACTGTCTCTGTGCAAATGAAAGAGAAGCATATTATTTTTAGTAATAATAATAATAATTCAATTCATGTTTATTTACGTGCAAACTTAACAGCACAGTGGACAATAATAATAATAATAATAATGCTAAAATTATTCTCAGCATTAATATGAATAAAATCTGTAGCATTTGTTTAAATCATTCTTCCATTAGCTGTTCATTTAACAGAACACAATGTAAGCCTTTTTAAACCACAGAAATTATAATAGACGATCATGAGCTTAAACAAAATTGGCTTAACAACTTTTTTGCAGTTGTGAGGGGATAAATTTCAACTAAATCTACAAAAATATTTTGTCAAATGGCCTCCATCTCTCTGGAAAATACTCACTATAAAATGCCTAATCAATCATAGGTACTCTTTGCTGAAATGTGACATGACACTATAGTATACCCTGAAAGATGTTACCACTTGCATAGGTAAAATAAAATTACAAGCAAGATTTCTTTGCAAGGTTTAGAGGGAACTGTGAAGGAAGAACACCAATAAAATTAATGGGACATGAATATATGTAGTTATATTGAGACTAGGACACATTCCAGCATACTCACAAACAGGCAGCAGTATTGCCAACCATGCAACAACTCCTCTCTAACATCTCACTGTGCAATAATATTTATTAATTTATTTTTCTGTTTTGAGAAATTTCACTAATGAGTGCCATTTGATGAAATGTGTAGAACTGCAGACATACAATGGTAAAACTAAAAAATCTTTGCTACAAATAAATCATCAGCAATATGCATGGCATACTAATGATATTAAATTATATACAAAATAATATAATAATATCAACAAAATTCGAGTTCTTTCTCTCTCTTTGTACTTTGGAAACTTAACTAAATTAACAATTAATAAACCAGAAAAAATTTATGTCACAGAACAAATGCAGAGAACTTTTTTTTGTTTTTGCTTTTGTTTTGCAATAGCACTAATAATAAATATCTATTGCAACAGCCTGTGTGGAAAATGTTTCCGTTTTTTCATTTCTTTATGGATAAAGAAATAGAAAACGGTAAAGCGTTAGAATTATTATGAGAAATAACATCAACAACTTTGCATTACTTCATGTTGAGTTATCTCCAGAAAACCATCTTCTCAAATGATTCAATAATAAAACTGTTTCTGCATTTCAAATGTTTCTCTCATTTTAGAACTGAGCTCTGCCCACTTCTAAACACAACAGCAGAAACAGAACAATATAATGTATATATATATATATATATATAATCTTAAATTCCTTGTTATGGAGTGTGTGAATAAATGCATATATTATTTTTTACTATTCCTTTTTCTTTGCTTCAGTAATTGTCTTCTTTGGAGTTCGTATTTAATTAGAGGATAATATCTTCATTCATATTTTAAATAATCACTTTCACAGATAGCAATATGGATTCACACACACAACTTTCTCTACAGAAACTGTTCATTTTAAAGATGCACAGCAGTTAATAAATCTACTATACCAGTATGTTTGTCTGAAGTTTGATTATATTTGATTATTTTAATTTACTTCATACTCATAACACTTATAATAATAATCACCAGTTTCATATAATCACTCACATTATTTGATTTTGAGTATTGTTCAGTTTTAATGTACTTGAGCACACATTCCCTTATTTTAAATTAATCCAAGCACTAACAAAATTAAGAACTTAGTAATTCATTGAATTCCATGTGTTTGCCCCCCGGATTATTCTACATATCTAATTAAACAGTGCTGCTGATGCTACTGGATAGGCCTAGTGATTCCTTTAATCAGGGGGCAGACAACTGTGTGCCAAAACAAAGACAATTTTGTAGTTCATTTCAACTGAATGCAATCTAAAGGTACCAGCAACCAAGTTGTATCCCAATTATTTTACTTTAAATAATGCTCACCATTAGCAAGGGGAAAAGGTAAGGGTAAAGTTGTCCATGCCTTGAAGGCTTTTGGTGAAGAGGTGTAGCTCCACACATTGTTAACATCAGCACTACTGTATAAGCAAAGAAAAATGGAAGGAAAACATGTGGCTTATCTGTTATAGATCTATGATGATACAATATTTATGTGAAACATAAAGACAGTGTTTAATTTGTGGCAGAAACTGGGACCTTCCTAAATCCTGTCCATATAAATTCAACAGCTTTCTTCCATTGCAACCTCATCACATTTGTCCACAAATAATTTTTTATGAGAGATTCATACGGTCTACTTTAGTTTGAACAAAACTTTGAAGATCATAATTTTTTAATTTCATGTTAATCTGTAAAGTACTATATTCTGTAAGATATGCAAAAACTAGTAATAACAGAATCATTTTCAGAACTTGAATTTCAAGTTTGAATTATATGACTTCAAATTGCACATTATTTCAAAATTACATATTTAAGAATATTTATGAAACTACTTCTATATGGACCCGATTTAAAATTATGTATAAAAATAATAAGATGGTAACAATTTCACTTGTTAAAATAAAAATCCACAGTAACTCTACTTTCTGTTTTAGCATAAGGTCCTCACACCACTCATGTCAGGAATCCGATTATGACTAAAAGCAAATTATTTAAGCAGGGTTTCATTTGTAGCAAAATCAAGAGTAACTGGCATACTGGTAGGTATTTAGATTACCTACTAATTGATACTGTTTCATCTGAAGAGGTTATGTTGGCCAACTGTGGAAACTGAAGCTCTGGAAAACTAGATGGCTCCTTATGAAGTGATAAATTCAAGATGTGCTGGTTAGGAATTGCTACAAATATGAGATAACTCATCTGGAGCCCTCTGCCTTCAAAGTAGAGGGTGGGGTGAAAGACACATCAGAATCTTACCACCATCACAAAATATAATTACCTATTCTGAATCCAATTCTATTTTCACAATAACTATTCACATTTTAAAGGAGAAGCTAAGTTTTTATTTTAAAGCAATGATTTTAGACCAGCAAGAACAGTAAGAAGCTCTGACATAAATTCTCATCATCTTAAGAAAGCTAAACTGTTATTTATTTAGATTAGCCACAAATAAACTGATTTGAAAATGTGAAAATTTAAGTTTGGATAAAAGAGAGTGAGAAGAAGGGCAAAATTGTAACATAAAATTTTAATCAACAAAGCTCCTGTTTCTATATATTTTGAACTCCCTCTCTGTCAATGAACTCACTGACCTGATGAAGCAGATGCTTATCTAGGTCTACTGCAATCCAATCTGACCTATAAGCAAGTGGCTGGTTTTTCACCCTTAAAATATAACATCAATAGCTACAAAATTTTCATACAGCCTGTACTGGCTGCAATTAGTCCAAGAGCACACTCTGATGGCTGCATGACATCTCCCCTATTAGGTCATTAGCTATTGAAAAGCCAGTAGCTCTTAACATTCAGAGTGTCATTGGATGAAAGCTGAAAGATTTGACAGCAGTTTTACAACAGCTACAGAGAAGTTTCAGACCTTCGTTTTGAAATGGTTTAATTAATTCTGTATGAAGAATATGTATAAAAAACTTTTAATTACTATCCCATGGGGTTAAATGATAAAAAGCAAACTGTCAAGTACATGAAGATATTTATGGATACATAAATGGCATACATGTAGTGAGGCACAGAAAAATTTGTATATGAAATTCATATGTAAGTTCCCAGTATCTTAAGTCACACAAATTAAGCAATGCAAAGAAATTGCCAGGTTAAAATGGAAAAGTAGGAACACTTATTGGAGAACAGGGATATAATGGTGAACACATTTTCTTTGCTGATGAGTTAGATGTACAGGCCTCAGTATATATTGCTGTGCTTGGACATAATCACATAAAGTAAAGGATCACGTGATGTCAATATGCAGGTTAATAGAAATCATTCAAGTAAGCCAGGACGGTGCAAAATGATCAGAAGTCAGAGCAAGTATTCTCCCATCCTTCCTTCTGAAAGTAAAGCTGCATTCATGCTGAACTCTCCAAAATTCTGATATATTTACAAAACTGAAGAAGGAACATGTTTGCTCTGCTTAGACTGATGGGTTCAAATAAACTACAAGAAGGAACTCAACATGCACTTTCAAGCTCTTCACTTCGTCTTCTCTTCGCCTGTCTTTTCCTGAACTCGTGAAACTCTTCTTTCATCGCTTGTACACGTGCTTCAATGTTATCATATTTGGAAGGCCTTTTGGGTCGTGTTGGGTAGAAGGACGCAGAATAGATTTCAGAGTCACTGATACCTCTGTCTTCTCCTCCACTACCCAACCGCTGTCGGGGCAGGGCACTGTGAACTCCTGTAGGTGTTGATGGTGTAGGTGTTCCAGAAAATATGGTATCAAATTCATAATGACCATCTACACTTGTATCTAGAGGTTTGGTGCTGCGGAGATGTCCAGGTTCTGAATGTGGAGGTGATGTATCTTGCAGGCTGGCAGTGAATTCGAGCCAATGGCCAATAAGGGGTGGTGGAGCTGGGGGGTGAGATGGATGAAGGATCTGTTGCATTGGGGGCAGAGGGGGTGGTGGGGGAGGTGGCCTATAAGGGGGCAATCTCCACTCAGCACTGGTGCTTCCAGACTGAGAACTTTGGTTCTGCTGTGATGTGTTTTTGCTTCCAAAACCACTGGAACTAGAGGGTGAAGTTTCCATGAGGAGACCATCATGGTGCTCTGCATCAGCAAGCTCAGGTGCACTACGGGCATGGCGAGCGTGACGTGGTGGCAGTCTGGCACGGGGTCGAGCAGTCACTATAGTGCCAGTTCCATGACCAGGGGGATGCGGGACCAAGTCTTCAGCCCACGGCAGTGCTGGACGTGGTGGTGGGATGCGAACTCTGGGAGGTGAGCTAGTGGCCAGAGGATGTACGGGTAGAAACAAGGGTGAGGTGATAAGATGAGGTGCATCAATAGTCACTGTCCTCTGCTGCTGCTGTTGCTGCTGCTGCTGTTGGTGCTGTCGATGCCAGCGGCTTGACTCCTCATGGATGGCTCGCAGTGAGGGTAGTTCTTGGCTGTAGCGCTCATGGACTGAGCGCAGCTGCAGATAGCTGGGAGGTGTGCCTGTAGTGAAGGTGCTTCCAGTAGGCAGTGAGCGTTCCACAGAACTGAGCTGAGGCACCGAACTCAGATCACTGAAGTTGTAGCTGGGAGACCAGGCAGTAGTGAGCAGAGAGCCAGGGGTAGCAGGAGAGCTGGCTCGGAACCTGGGTACAGGAGCAGGTGGTGAGTATATGGCTGGGACTAGAGGAGGTTGGTGTTGATAGTAAGGTGGGGATGACTGGCCTCCAAGTGCATCAAGGATTGCAGCGAGATCACCACCGATGCCACTTTCCCCAGAACCATCTGATCGCAGACTCAGTTGGCTGGGGTATCCCACAAGTGGCCGCCTCCATGAAGCCCTTCTCCTGCCTCGACGGGGAAGGAATCCACCATCATCACTGCTACTGCTAACACTGTTTGCAACAGAGGAATGTGATGAATCAGCAAGTACAAATCGGCCATCAGCAGTGCGGGAAATTCGGCTCAGACCCTTCCCATGTCCAATGTATTCTGGACGCCAATGCCTTGCCATGTCACTGCTGCTGCTTATGTAGGATCCTTCACTTTCACCACACTGTTGCGATGTCAGCCAATTTGTCAACTGAGCATGAGTCCTCTTTAATGCATCACCTAGGAGCGTCAGACTTGGTATTCGGCTCTGTCTAAGTCTGTGATGATCAAGAAGAAAACATAATTATTCCACTGCCAGTATAATAACACAGATTTCAGTGTTCATTATCTCTAAAACACCAAGTCCACCTAAATTTGCCCACAAACACAAAACAACACAAGAAAATTCATGCATACACTCACACACAATAATAATAAAAAAAGACAAGGCAAAGTGACAAAACTGTTCTCAGATGGATGCGAAAAAATATACATCATAACTACTGTTAATTTTGACTTCACACTGAATATGTAACTGTAGATATATCAGTTCCTCCTCCTCTTTCTGAAGTACTGGTCAACATATGAGGTCAAATCGAAAATATCATTGTTTTTGGCACGTGAAACTAAAATCGAAACCTTTATTTATCCCTTGAAAATAGTAATTTCCCAACAATTTTTCAATGATCCCACCATTGTTTTCAAAGCTTTTCTAGCACTATGCTTTTGAAGTGGCATTCTTTCCAGCATTCCACTGTGTATGATCTAATACCTTTCCTTTTAAGATATGTTTCAGTTTGGAGAAGAGAGGATGATCATTCTGTATCAAATATGGTAAACAGAGCATGTCAGAGCCAATGGAATAATATGCTTGTTGAGAATTTCCAGACTCTTAATTCAAACTTCGGATTACACTCGTCTGGCATGTGGTGAAGATAACTTATCCCATAACTTCATGAATCTTCATTATTCTGTATCCATGAATTTTATCATAAACAGGAGTCATGAATTCCCTAATGTACAATGTCAATGAACAGCCACAGCAGGAATAATCTTTCAAAAAAATTTAGCCGCATACAAAGCAGAAAAATACTCAAATGTTTTGTCAGCTGTTCACCAAATTTCATACATACTTTGTAAAAACATACATTCTTCCCCAATGTCAGGAATTTCAGTCTAACACATCAAACAAACAGTATTCCATCCCCTAAAATAAAATCACTATGAGAACTTTTTAATCACAACTCATATCATATCCACAGGAAAATGTTTAACTTATCTTGCAGCTATACACTTTGAACTTGCTTTAGAGTTACACGGGCTGTATGGAACATTTTCAGACTATTTCAAATCATTACCAATAACATCACCTTAAACACGGTATTTTAAAATGAAACAGTCTGAAGGCTATTACTTCTAAAACATAACGAGAATTATAAATAATATTTTAAATTTCAAACTAATTTCGTACAATATGCACTCTGAAAGAAAGAGACTAGAAGAAGTATTACAGCAACTGACATCTCAACATCAGGATCTACACCAGAAATAAAATGGCTATGAGGATCTAAACACAGAAAAGTGGCCTGTATTTATAAATAGAAAACATCAATATATATGTATTAACTAGAATAATTTCAAAGATGACTGGATAATGGTTGTGCATCTCTATTTAGGAAGATGTCATGAAATGGTAAAAGTGTAAAACAAGCACTCATGAGCATGATCGAAAATGAACTGAACTAATGTAACATTTCTGATAGGGTGGGTATTTTATATGAATATGTTGGAATTCATTTGCAACCAATGTTGGGGAGGGAGAAAATTTCAGATACAACTTACAGTAATAAATAACACATAATATTGTTGTGGCATGTTCTTAGGACATTATCTATTGTCTATGTTCTAATATTTTAAAAATTACTATCTTTCAGGGATCAACTGGACTCAGTCCAGTGATCAAGACTTGCTCTTTGGAATGGGCCCAATTAGGTAGAAATATTTACTTCTTTATGCTTGCTGATGGAAATAAATCCAGTTTCCAAAATGTTGTATTGGATAAAACTCAAGATTATGGACAATGTCCAAAATAATAATCATGTTTATAGCAAATGTGGAAATTCCAATAACAAATCTATAGATTTTTGAAAGCAGTTCACTCAAAACAGGTCAAGGCACTACAACAATTTGTAAAATGACAAATATAAATACGAAGGTCGTACCGAAAGTCATGAGCAACTTTTTTTTTGCATGCAACCTGGGAACAGCAGATGAAAGAGAGTATGGTGGTAGGTGGAACCAGCTATTGTGTTACCCTTGAGTGTCTTGTGACGTCAATAGCTTGCATCACGTGACCAGTATCACTCCTAAAAAAAATGGCCGACAACGATATGTCATTTTGCCAGAATTTCTTGTGAAAGAGGAAATCCCTGCTGCAGAAATTCACCAGAGACTTCAGTGTGCTTATGGAAGCGTGTGCATAGGTGTGAGCAGTGTTCGAAGATGGCTGAAACATTTTAAAGATGGGAACACCAGCATCGAAGATGAGCCCCCAAGCGGTTGTCCTCAAATAGCCTCAACTGAACGCAACAAGGAAAGAGTGGATGAGATCATTCAAGATGACAGGCATGTGACTGTGGACACAATAGCCCAAAAACTTGGAATAGGGCACAGTGCAGTACAGGAGATGATTGAAAGCTTGGGCTATAGGAAAGTTTGTGCTTGTTGGGTCCCGCGGTTATTGACTGAAGAGCACAAAGGTCAGCAAAAAGCCATCTCCTCAGAACTGCTGCAGATATATCAACACGAAGGCGATGATTTTTTGCTCTTTATTGTGACAGGTGACGAAAGCTGGTTTCACCTTTCGAGCCTGAAATGAAACGGCAGAGTATGGAATGGCACCATTTGCATTCTCCATCAAAAAAGAAGGCAAAGACAGTACAATCAGCTGCGAAGGTGATGGGCACAGTCTTCTGGGATGCAGAGCGGTTTATTCTGGCCGAATTCCTGGAACCTGGGCAAAGCATCAATGCTACTCACTATGTCCAGATGCTGCACAAGTTCCGTCGTGCATTGCACGATAAACATCCGGGATGAAACATCATCATCCTACATGACAACACTCGCCCCCATGCTGCTCGCCTCACATTGGAAGCAATTACAAAGATGGGGTGGGAAGTTCTTCCACACCCCTCCTATAGCCCTGATCTGGCACCCTCCAACTACCATATTTTCAGATTTGTGAAGGATCAGCTGCATGGACAACGTTTTGAGACAAGGGAGGCAATTCAGAAAGCAGTGCGTCAGTGTCTTCGGATGGCTGGAATGGAATTTTCAAACTCCCAGAACACTGGGAGAAATGTGTACAAAGAAGTGGCGATTATGTGGAAAAATATATGTCTGTAGATTGAGGTGGTGTATTTGGTTTGTCAATAATAAAGCATGTTACTATACAAAAAATTGTTGCTCATGACTTTCAGTATGACCCTTGTATGATCAAGCTCTATGAGCTTTTTCACAGAACATTTCTAAAACCAAGAATGTTTGGAAATTTATTTATATCTTAAAGCTGCCAGTACAAAAGAAAAATATAGTTTCAAGGTTGAGTTCTATGAGAATTCTCACCATGAAAGGTGATGAAGCCAGTTCCCATCATCTCCAAAACTAGGCCTTTCATATATGAAGCAAAAACTCTACTAAGTATATGTGCCAGTTTTTTGTAAGTATAATCAATGAGTAGTCTCTTTGTTACAATGAATTAATTATTACCCATTTAATTGTTTCCTATACACTAGAAGCAATTTAGCCACAACATGGATTATAGCCCTAAAGTAATTCAGGTAATTACATCACCAGAAATCTTTAAGAATTATGTGTTTCCTTTTACTGACCTATTCTGCCTTCGATCATGCTCATTATGATTGTCATGTGAACATACAAGAGTTTATAACATGCTTTGTACCAAGTGCACTATGGAAGTGAGAGCGTGCTGATTTCAACAGTTGCTTCCAAACTCTTCACCTTTTTTCCTCCTGAATGACCAGCGCAATGGGGAGAAACAAAAAGAAGAGAAAAATGTTTATCAGGCTAGAATGTGATCAAGTGGATTAAATGAAAAGGAAAATCTCAACTCAGAAAAATGTGACTTTAAGTACTAATTGACTTGCAAGACAAATGATTCTTTTCTTGAAACATATAGTACACTTTCAAGCATATTCTGTCATGTGTCCAATTGAAGGTTCTGAGAGAGGCAAATTTTAGCAATCCATCCTTTGCTTGCAATTGCCCCCTTTGTACTGAATATTTTAATTGGAATATTAAGTTACAATTTTGGATTTTCCTAATATAAACAGTGTTTTAAGAATTTTATTCCAGGAAGGTTGTCATCTCTTTCTGAAATACAGAGAATAACTCGTTAACGAAGATCTACAGAATGTAGTAATTGTGAAATGTTAGTTATATAACAGCAGATGTTAAGAATAACTGTGATTCATTTACAAGTAATTTTTTAGACTAGTGACATGTGGTTTTGGCTTGTTTTATACGGTCATAATTCTTACAATGGCAGCTTATACTTAAAACGTCCCATACACTAAATTTCCCTAATACATATCACATAATCAATATTACTGATAAGACACTAACTGTTGAGAGGTGGCAAAATTCATTTTTTCCCCTGACAAACACCAAATATATACAAACCAAAAGGGCCACTGCTACTAAGCAAGATGTCTTGTATGGGCATGGGAAAGGTTAATACAGAAGTGTCTAGTGAGCCAAACTTGTTACTTGTTTACTTATTTTTCTCAATTCTTGCATAGTATGCATGAGAACATATACTCTGCAGCCTGGTAAATATATAAAACATCAAACTTTTTCTTGTAACTGTTTTTGAATATTTGGAATGAAATATCTTTATAAAAAATACTGTTTGTGAATAAAAAGTGAACACTAAAGAATTAGTATTCAGAATATGTAATTTAATTTGTGACAGTTTTATATTCCTATGTAAGTATTCAGATACTACTTCTCTGTCACTTTGACCTTGAAGGAGGTAGGAACTTGTCAGGAATATTTACAATTTTTACATGTGTGAGACTCAAAACATTCTACACTAAGTATAGTACGCACAGGATCACAACAACAAAATGCACTGACAATGCTTGGCTACCATTTACATATCTTCAGAATACAACAATCTATGAATGGGATCACAACTTGAAAACAGATGACTTAAATCTGGTTTCATGAACTACAAGATAGTGACATGTTTTGTTTT